CACCCGAGGAGAATAAGTAGCCACTACAGTGGACCATTGTGCCAGCAATGATGACCCCAAAGAACGTAATGCTGGGGGGATTCTTCTAGATTACCTTGGAGCACTCACAGAAAGAAAATCATAAGCTTAGATGTTTAAGCTCTCAGCTCTAGGCTCAGAGACTGAGGGAGCTTTTAACCTAGAGAGCTTCAAAAACAGCCTCTTCCCACAGCCACAGCGTCAGTCCTACCAAGGAAGAAACACAAAGTTTAGCTGAACTCCCAGCCCTCTATACCTGTCATGGGAATTAAGACACTGATTGAGGAGGAACGGGATGTTAAGATACAGAAATGGGGGTTGGGGAGATGGATCAGTGGTTAACAGCACTTATTATTCTTCTGGGGACCCAGGTTTGGTTCCCAGCATCCATGTAGTGGGTCACAACTGTCTATAACTCTGGGCCTAGGGGATCTGATCTCCTTTGCTGACTTTTGTGAGCACTAGGCACTTACATCGTGCACAAACATACATTTGGGCAAAACATTCATACACATAAAATGAAACAGATCTAAAAAAAAATTTTAAAAATAAAAAGATATGGAACAGAGCCACCTGACAGGGTCAGATGGAAGTTCAGTGTCTTAGATCGCTGGGTCCCTATGAACTTCTCTAGGTGGAGGCAGACAACACTTCTGTGTTCTATCCTTTCTCAAATTTGAAGACCAGAATAATCTTTCTCAGGGCAATTGCCTCATAAGAGAATGTGGAACACCTTCAAGACACATTCCAGCTTCCACGTGTCCCCGGGTCCACATCTCCAGAGACCGATTAGAAGCCTGACGTGTGGAATGGTCGCAGTGCCACAGCTGAAGATGCAAGCTGCTGATATTTCCCACGTCCCCACCCAACTCACCTTCTCAGAAGGGGTAAGAATCCTAGGGTATGACCCTGAGCAGTTGTAAACTGAACTCCAGCCTCTTCCAGGTGGGGGATGGACGCTAGAGCAAATCGAGATTTTGCTGGCACCTGGTTTGCCTATGGACCTGAGAGTGCTTTCCCCCAACTTTCCCAATCTGCAAGCACCACTAGAAGCAACCTTCGTTTACTAGTTAGAACTAACAGTGTATTTTCAGTCTTGCTTCAGAACGACATTAGCTGTCCTGTCTTATCCTAATACAGTTCAGAAAAGCCCTGGGTATTTAGACATTCCATTCACCATTACAGTAGACCACTGCGTCCATGTGCTCATGAGAGCCGATGAGCAGAAAGTGGCAAGTCCTTGACCAATATCTTATTTTTATGTATGTAAATGTTTTGCCTGAATGTATATAAAACACATTCCTTTGGAGGTCAGATGAAGGCATTGGATCCCCTGGGACTACAGTTACAGATAGTCGTGAGCTCCATGTGGGTACTGGGAATCAAACCCAGGTCCTCTTCAAGATCCTCTGTAAGTGTTCTTAAACCTCTGAGCCATCCTCTCAGTTCAGGTTCTTGACCAATATCTTACTAGCTTTCTCTGAGCCGAAGGGCAGGTGACAAGTTCCGTGACAGTTTAGGAGTTTGTCTCCTCAGTGATGTTTCTTTTTTCCCCAATATTAAGGCGTGCACCACCACTGCCCAGCTCTCTTATTTCACTTTTCAACCTTTCAATTTGGGACAAATTGGGAAAGAGCAAGAAGAGGACCACTGCCAGGTGTTGAACCTGCCACACACAGGGCTGCAGATGGTATTAGCCTGTGCACTGAGTGTCTGTGGACTCACAATCCGGTGTCCCTGGCTGCTCTTCACTCATTCTAGACACTGAGTTTAGAGCCTATTCTACCAGAAGCTGTCAGGCCAGGCACTACATCCCTGCAAGCCCACCTGAGAGCTGCTTCCTACCCCAGGTCTCTAGCTCCTTGATTCCTTGCTTAGAGGCTTTCTCCTGGGTTGGAGAAACCTTGTTCAACACTTAAGCAGCTTGGGAGTCCAGGGAATTTCATGTCTGGGGGCGGGGGAGTGTGTAACTTAGCCAGTGTGGATGGAAGTTTCTGGTCTCCATGGAAGACGCAGCTCAGAAGTGAATTCTGCGTTCCCTAGTGACTTGCTGGCCACAACAACAGCAATTGTCATGGTAATATTCTTTAGGTTTGGTTTGCTTTCTTCCATCTCTGTTTGCCCACACCTTGAGTATGCTCTTTTGGGATTACCTCCCCAAGCTTAGAGGCCTATCCATAGCACTCTCTTTGGACGTTGGCTCTTGTGGTTGTTTGAATAAGAACGGCCCCCATAGACTCATATGTCTGAATACTTGGTCCCCAGTTAGTAGAACTGTTTGGGAAGGATTAGGGGGTGTGGCCTTATTGGAGGAGGTGTGTCACTGGGGGTGGGGCCTTAGTTTTCAAAAGACTTGCACCTTTCCTAGTGTGCTTTTTTGTTTCCTGTTTGTGGACCAAGATGTGAGCTCTCAACAGTTGCTCTGGTACCATGTCTGCCTGCCTGCTGCCTGCCTGCCTGCTGCCTGCCTGTCTGCTGCCTACCTGCTGCCTGCCTGCCTGTCTGCCTGTCTGTCTGCCTGTCTGCCTGCCTGCCTGCTGCCTGCCTGCTGCCTGCCTGTCTGCCTGCTGCCTGCCTGTCTGCCTGCCTGCCTGCTACCTGTCTGCTGCCTGCTGCCTGCCTGTCTGTCTGCCTGCTGCCTG